TACCACGAAGGAAGGGGAATGAAGTACATCTCACTGATGCGCGCTGCAAAAGCGTTTGCCTTCTCATTTCTTCCTCACTCCGTGTTATGATGTGTTTGATAAATCTATGTCGTCCCTGCTTCTCTAGCACGACTCTTTTCTTCCATTTTTTTTCTGCTTTTCTCTTTCCTCTTTTAACAAAAAAAAATATAATGAATATTTTGTGTCTCCGTGGCTGTGTTCTCTCAACCAGGTAGTTGGTTAACCTCAATCGCTTTCTTTTGTTGGAGGTTTCGCCTCACACAAACTCTGGCCTATCACGGACTATTGCTATCGCCGCCTGATCCCGCAGTGTCAGTTCGTGTGGCCAGTACACTGGCACACATATCTACCTACTTATCTATTTATAGATAAGTAGAGAGATATTGTTTTCCGTCCAGGCGACGCACCAATCCGGGCGTGAAACCCCTCAAAAAGAGGTAAAAAAGTATAGGTAGCGTTAGAAAATGTATGCACCCGTTGTTGCTTCTGCTGCTGAAGTTGCCAGGCGGGATAAATCGCTTTCAGTGTGTTTGAAGAGTGCCCTCAGTGCCTACAAGCAGAGTAAATGTGAGACGTCGTGTCAGCGCTTGCTCGGGGCGTTGGAGGGCGTCTGCTTCTCTCTTTGCTTCGGTGATGAAGAGTTTATAAGACGCTTCAGCGTAGATCGTCACGCCACACTGCTAGTATCGACACTTGCAAGTGTTTCTCCGTGTGATTACGGTAAAGTGCGGCCTCTGACGGTGCAAGCACTGTCGTTATTGGCAGATCTCGTTCCACGTGGAGGATTTGCCATCGCCGCTGCAAAGGGCGTGCAACCGCTACTGCGCCTCGTGAAAGACACAAGGCCCATAGGTAACGACACGCTGTTGGAGGAACTCTTAAAATGCATTAGTCACGTCGCACTTGAGGCGAACAGTCAGATGGTTTGCAACCACGCTGTCGCGGCAATTGTGGCTCTTGAGGCTCGATTGACCACGCATCACCTACGTATGCTGTGCCTCAAGTGTCTCTGCCACCTTCTCGGTGCGGCACGGGTGGAGGAGTGGAGCACATATCTCGCCAAGCCATCCAGCATTCTCATGGGGCGGTTTGGTCAACAAGTTCAGGAACTCCTTGTTGATGGGCGGCCTGCTGAACGGTTGACAAAGGAGAACGAGGCGTACTTGCTGCGCCTTATGGAGTGTGTCGCCATAGTATTTGATCGAATGATGCTCTCTGGGGAGATTATCCTCAAAAACGCCACTATTGTGAACGAAGCTGTGCCGGCACTCGTCAGTGTTTTAAAGCAGATACCGTCTATGGGTTCACAAGCAGCCGCGTTTCGAGATGCGGCATGCTCGCCACTGCTAACTCTATACCTCACAGACCCAGCTATTGCGATTCAAACCTTTCTTAAATACCACGTCCTAAGCTCTTTGTGTGGTGTCCTTAGCGGAGTGCTCAGTGGTGATACGAGACAACTTTCATACAATGGCGGGGCACTCGCTGAGGCTCTCTTAGGAAATGATGTCAATGCTATTCCGTGTATTGCTGAAGAGCAACAAATCACTCCCCTGCTGGAGTTTCTCTTGACGATTATGCCCGGTGCATTGGTTGCTCATGAAAGTGACTACTATGTCACACTGCCCCACTACATCTGGCAATGGGAAGACGACTTCCACAATAAGAGTGATTGCAGTGATAGCCTCAGCAAGCGTCTGGAAGAAGAATACGAAAGACAGCGCAAATCGCCACGGTTTACACCATATGAGGTGAACCATGCATCACGTCTTCTTAAGGTTGACTTCAACAATATGCAATATACAAGTAAGGAACACTCTTCGTACCCTCATGGTATCTACCGTCGGTCTATACTTGCCGGCTACTTACACCGACGACCCATGCGCTGTACTTGTAAGGAGAGCAACACGTCTTGTTCCCCCGCCTTCGCTTCTGTTTCACCACGGCCGTTTCCGTCCTTGCGTGAGGAGCCCAAATATGGGCGTCGTGAAGGAAATGCAGCTAGAGGAATATCAGCCATGACAGTAAATGGGGCGGAGGAAGAGGCTTTAGCTCTAAACGATGCCGGGGAGATGGCGAGAGGCATTCCGTCACTGCATGACGCACCCAGCAGGGGGTTTAGGCAGCTGAACGGAGACACGAATGGACGCTTGGTGGAAGGAGACGGCGTGTGCTGCTGCTGTGTTGACGTAACACACTGGCGTAGAGGAAGAAATCCTGGCGTGAATAAAGGTACAAACTGGGGCGAAAACAACGACAAATCTGATGCCGCAACCCGAGATTTGCTTCGAGATGTTCGTGAGGAGCTTTTGCGTAGTTCATTCTCCCGCATGCAGTTTTTGCAGGGCCCGGTAATAAAAGAGGTGATTTCATGGTGTTTACCTGTTCTGATCACGGTGATTAAGCGCACGGTGTGTCCTATCATCGCGCGTCACTGCTCCATCCTGATTCTCCGGTGTGTGGATCTCGTGGCAGAATTTTTCCGTGTTGGTCGAAAGGGTCGTCGAAGCGATAGCTCGCGAAAGTTGCGGGACAAACTAGATGGTTTGTGTCCGATGCTAGGAAATGTCTTCTTATACTTGGCCACCACATGCAGATCCTCTGAACAGATAGTGTCGTGGGTATATCCCTTTAGAGAGCTTCACTGTGATGAATCCTTTACACAGGCTTTGCTTCCACTAGGGTTAAAGCCACTCTGTCGTATGCCCTCCATGAGTCTGGCTTGTGAAACACAGATGAGCGCGTTAAGTGCAATGCTTATTTTGCAGTTCTCATGTAGGCCCGGGGTGAACCTATTCACTGATAACCAGAAGTTCATTTTATGCCAAATAATCGAGACATTTTCTGGCGGGATTGGTCAGCATCAGTCAATCCTTCGCAGTGCAGTGTATGGCAGCACAGGAGCCTATTTATGTTCTTTCCACTCCACAGCGGAGTCCATAGAAGGGGTACGACTGAAACTAATGGAGCAGGTGTTTGTGCTCATGCGTGGGGATGTGGAGGCGATTATGCGTGGACTCTTGCTTGTTTCATCAAGTGTGCATTCATCGTCATTTTCGAATGCAAGTTACCAGATGGGTGAAAATCCAAATCCTCTTGACTCAGCGAAAGGGACTATTGCGTCTACCTGTTCGAGTCACTCTATTGTCACCGACGTCATGGCGCGCGCTGAAATGCACATGGACCACCCTCTGGGAGTGCAGCAGGTGCTCGGCATTCACGAATACATGAAGGGGCGTAGGAATGACCTGTCCTCTCTCGTGCATGGGAGCCCTGAGTTTCTCGATCACCTTGCAGATACTCTAAGAGATTCTGTGGCGGATCCTGTGTTGGATTTAGAAGCAAGGGAAGCATTTGCTGACGTGCGAGCGGGCCTTGTACGGGTGATGAATGAAGACATGGATCTCGCCACTTTGGAAGAAATAAACGCTGTTGAGCGGCATCCAACAAGGTTCACGCGCCGCCTTCGTCGCAGCAAAGCCATGACTGCCATGACAAATCGAATGTGGACGCCACTTCGCGTAAAGTTGGAAGCTGTCGGCATGACAACTAGTACCTGGTCGCATTCCTCTTCACGTCGAAGCTTAATCATTGACGGGGCAAAGTATACCCTTCTTGATGTCCAGGCGGAAAGTTGCGTCTTAAGCATTCTCCCAACAACACCACTTCACTATCTCGCAAAATATATACTTTTACAACTGAATCGACAATACGCTGATGGAGGGAGGCGAGACTCTGAACCATGGTTTATGCGAAGATTCCTTTTGCCACGAGGCCTAGAATTGGGGAATGCCCTTTCTCTTCCTGAACCTCTGCTTTCCGACATGGAAGCGACGAGGGATGGAGATGATGAGCTGAGCCCTTCATTTCCCTCAGTGCCGCACCCATCCTCGAACATGACAGAGAGTCGAGGGAGCCTGAGTTCTGGTATGTTAGCTGTGCCATTAGAACCGCAGGGGGGAACCTCCGCGAGTGAGCAAGTTTTGTGTGTGGTGTCAGCAGCAGTGCCAGGGATGGACAATTTGCAAACGGCTTTTCAAACACCAAATTCGGTGGGGCGAATGCCATTGGGGCCCTTTAGTGATAAGCCAAATATGATCACTCTAGACAACATCGTTTTCTTGTGCGATGGTGAACCTGTGCCAAACCTGTCAGCATCTGTGTTGGAAGTATGCAGTAGCCGATGTTACCCTGAGATGATGAAGGAACGTGCCGACACATTTGGGGAGGGAGAGAAATTCGAAAGGTACGGATCACCAAAGGCGATGCAGCGCGTCTTGTCGCTGTGGACAACAGCACATACGATTGAATACGTCATCGTGAAGGAACCTGTTATAAGGAGCTTCAGGGGAAATGAGACGAGGGGAATCTATAAAAACGCTAGCTGCTCACCAAAGGAAGTATTTGCACGGTTGACGAATTCTCCCGGACCCCAATCCTGTTTGGGGTCCGTGGCGAGGCTTTTGGATGAGCTGAGGCGGATTCTGCATGCTTCGGATGTTAACGTTTGTCAAGATGAAGGTCGTCTCTGTGCTGCCCTTATCCACGGCTTTTACAACAGCCTAAGTGCACTCATGTTGCCACCACTCACTTTTACTGTCCTCGGAGCATGCATGAATGGCCAGAATAGTCAGCACCTCGCTAGCTACATTCTCTGGAATTATCCACAGGTATTCGGCTTCGATATCCGACGAACGCTATTGCAACTTCTTCTTTCGGTGCGTCGTGTACCAACTGCTTCGCTGGAGAAAATGAAAGAAATTTCAGCGAGGTCAAGCGATGGGGTCAGTGTGCACGGCCTGGAGTGGATTAGACCCGACACGAGCATGCGTAGCACGAAGAAAGTGACGGTTGAGCGGGAAGATATACTGGGAAGCGGCGCAAGGGTGCTGCGTGCCCATGCTATGTGTCCACTTTCACTGAGTGTTGAGTTCAAGAATGAGAATGGCCTTGGTGTGGGACCCGCGATGGAATTCTATAACTTGTTCTCGAGTCAAATTCAGGATCAAAAACTTCAGATGTGGCGAACAGAAGAATTCACTGACATATTGGGTACACCTGCGCGACGCGTGCAACTTCCATTGCTTCCCGCAGCATCTCAAACGGCAGAGTCTCTATCGTACTTTGAACTCCTTGGGCTGTTGGTGGGGCGTGTTCTAATGGAGGAGCGTGTGGTTGACCTCCCGCTGCATCCCTGCTTTTTGCGGGGCATTCTTGGCAACGTCGACAAGAATCACCTGAGTGAGATTGAACCAGAGCTGAATCAGCACCTTGACTGGCTGGAGTCTCTCAATGCAGAGGAGCTTGAAGCTTGCGAACTCATGTTTGTGTTACCGCACAGCGACGCAACCAAGGTGGATGGGGAAATTGAACTGTGCCATAACGGAGCCACCAAGCCAGTGAACGCGCATAACATCAGCAAATATGTCCGGGCAGTACGGCGGTATTTATGCACGACTGTCTTCTTTAGACCACTCGCACATTTCATGCAGGGATTGCGTTACACAGTAATCCCTCAGCATCTTGAGCTCTTCAGCATTGGTGAGCTGCAGCTCCTGATCTCTGGTCCAAATGGAAAAATATGGGAACGCCCCGAGGACCTCAAGCGAGACATCACAACTGCTCACGGCTACGACAAGAATTCCCCAGTTGTAGGATATTTGTTGGACGTAGTGAGCAACTGGGACGCACCGTTGCAGCGTGCTTTTCTGCGCTTTGTGTCGGGGTCCGCACGCATTCCCCTCGGCGGTCTGCAGCCGCCCATCACCGTTGTACGCCGCGCCGTGGGAGTGGGTGAGGACAACGTGGGCAACATGTCCCCTGCCCGGGATTGTGTTGAGGGAAAGAGCAGCAGGGCGCTTCAGCAGCTTATGGACGAGTCGCTTCCGACCGTCAACACATGCGCGCACTACCTTAAGCTGCCGAGCTACAGCTCCAAGGCTGTCCTGCGGGATAAATTGCAGATAGCTGTAACGGAGGGACAGGATTGTTTTCTACTCACCTAAAGAAGAAGAATAAGCAGCAAAAAAAGAGATAATGATACGGAGCCAGAGAAAAAAAAAATTAGAGGGAGAAAAGCAGTACAACAGGAAGCGAAGCGAGAAGACGTAAACTTCTGGCCATCAGCAAGAAAAAAAAAATCGATATTCAATGCGAATAGGGATGGTGACTGTTTTCCTTTATGTGGATGGAAGTGTGTGATTTTCTCCTTTTCTGTGATTTTCCCTGTTTTTTTTTTTTTTTTCTTTCTTCTTCCCCTGTGTATCTATTGTGTAAGTAGGAGCGGGTCTTGGAGTGTTTTCTTTTCTTATTGCGCAAAGTGGGGGGTGGCTTCTCTCTCGCCTTGTGGGGCTCACCTGGAGAGTGGTGCGTCCCCGTTTGCCGTCAGTGACGCGAAATACGCCCCTGTCTTGTATTCAATTGAGCGTGCATTCTGCAGCAAGGCATTTCCCCCTCCCTTCCTCCCCCTCTTTTTTTTTTAGTTTGTTTGCTTATTCAAGTGCTGACGGGTTTCCTATATCTCTCCGTGTGTGTCCGTTTTTGTCCGTTTTGTTTTGCCTTTTCTTCGGTTTTTTTTTGTCCCCCGTACGGCCCCTCACCACCGTAATACGTCTTAACAAATCGTAATCAAGGGTGAGTGTGGGGAGGGGGGCGAGTAGAACGCGCACGCCGGCGGCTCAGTGGAAGGGCGACCGCGAGGAAAGGGGAAGAGTGAGGGAAAACGAATGACATAACGTGCGGTGCAAATGCAACAAGCAAATAGTCGAGAAGAGAAACGACAAGCAACAGAAAAAAAAACATCCAAGTTGATAAACTGCCTACATTTATGCTTGTGCACCTGTGTGTGTGTGTATGGATACTGAGAAATTAGCCTTGTTTCTTTTTTTTTTTTGCTTCATTTCTTCAAAATCAACGTATTTTCATGTCTTCTCAGCCACCACGCGGAACGAGTTTCACCGATGAGTGCTTCTCCCACATGGTTTTTCCCCCTGTTTCCCGATGTCCCGCTGAGCGTGGTAAAGCACGCACCAGTACCACAGGTAGAGAAACTGTACACGGCGCAAGATGAGCTTTATTGTTTGTTGTGAGTGGGGGTACGGCACACTGCGCATTATGCTTTGTACTTCTGCTGTGAATAATTTTTTTTTTGTTCTCATGATCGGCTTCTCATTCTCATTCAGTTGCAGTTTATTTTCCGGTCTCCACTATTCGTCGTGAGAGACGCATACAACTCGGGTGGGAAGGGCAGAAACCCAGCGTGGGAAATGACCTTTGATACGTCATATTGTCAACTGCGTATGTTCCATTCCACTGACATAGATACCACGGAATGCTCTCTATTTGCACTTGCCACGCTGAATAGTTCATCCTTTGGTGGGGCATATATAGTTGTTGTTGTTGTTTTTGTTCTTTTCTTGTTACCCGGTGCACAATCTTTGGCACAGCAAAGGAACAACGTAGTCTTAATCGACAACGCAGCAATTTGCGTAGATTGATAAAGGGGGAGTTGCGATGTTCCGGCGTGCTATCGCCGTGCGCACAGTGGTGACGTTGGCTGCTGCCGAAGCGGCAGCGGTGCGTGTGGGGATCCTCTCCCCCGCCATCCGCTTTTCCATGCGCCTTGACACCACCAGCAAGGCCACTACCGGTGCCAGTACCACTGAGGTGGCGGCAGAAGCAGAGGCAGAAGCAGGAGCATCCACAGTGTCAGTAGAAGAAGAAACACCTGGTGCAACGAAGGTTGAGGTAAACGCTCCTAGGAACCCTTTGTATGTTCCCTTCATGGGTTCATCGTCGCGGTTCACGTTTGCAAATCCAATTTCCAAGTTGGAAGAGCTGACTGCACTTGAGAGTGAACCACTTAGCCACTCCCCGCCTGGACGTGTTAACGACCATTGCTGCATTTACCTTGTCAAGTTGCTGCGGTGGTGCGCCGACAAACTCTTCCGCGAGCGGTATATGCACCGTGCCACAATGCTCAAAGTCATGGCTCCCGCCTCACCTTTTGCTGGGGCCATGATCACCTTTCTTCGGATGATGTTCAAGAAGAAAGGTGCGGTATGTGCCTCAGTGGAAGGAGGTTTCGCTTTGGAAGTGCGTGGCTTGTTAACACAAGCCGAGTCGCATGCTTGTCATGCCCACATTCTCATGTTAATGACGGAGATCACGTACATGGAGCGCGCCGCAGCACTTATTCTACAAGCAGGACATTTTATCATCTTCTTTATTCTCTTTCTGGTGTATCCACGGATGGCCTATCGGCTAATGGGATATCTTGGCGAAGAGTCGGTGGTCATTTGGACTCACATGATAAACGACATTGACCTTAGAAAGGTCAGCGAACGGAACATTCCTCAGGCGGCGCTAGACTACTGGAGCTTACACCGTTTCAAAACTGCTGAAGTTTCTCTTGGTGATCTGCGGGATGCCAACCTACCGGAACAGTCGGAGGAGTCACGCAAAGCGGAAACGCCGCAAAACGAGGATACCTCAACAGAGGCTGTCACACTACGCGATGTGATTCTGCTGTTGCGCTCGGATGAGATGGTGTGGCGTGACGCATGTCATCGCATGGCGAACGACATTGATCGAGCCCAGGGCAAAGGTAAGTCATTCTTTTCTTCGTTCTTCTCATAGGTCGTTCTCATCACAAAATTGAAAGCCTCCACCTGCTTTGTTAGGTCGATTTGAGGTTTCGGTGGGTGAGTTGGTTGGGTTGTTAGTTACCGGTGTTGTTCTTGCACATGTTGCAAGTAAAAAGAAGAGTACATTAGAGGGGATATATATATATATATATATATATCCGTTTCCTCTTAACCTCTTTTTTTTGCTCTGAACCTGATCAGTAGCTCCCTCTTCCCGAGGAAGTGAGATCACAAGAGAAGCCGTGTTTGAAGTTGTCGGTTTGTGTTTGTGCGTTCCTTGGCGTCACCTCACTCTTTCGCCTTTACTCATCTTACCACAGCTTGGCATCCCCCCTTCAAACGACACTGGGGGAGTAGGACGGCTGAGAAGCACATAGAACCACTTGGAACAATGGCTAATACCCATTCATGGGCAAGTTTTTTGACGGCTTTAGAATCCCGTGGCGTTTCATTCCAGCAGGTGCAACATGCTTCAGACAGGCGCGCTGTCATTGTTGCAGCGGGGTTCACAGATCCCATCAGCATCGCTATACTGGAGACCGAATGGATGAAGCGTAGCGCAGCCGCTCCCGCTGGCTCAGCCCCAGTTGCTGGAAATGCCGCACGCACCGCGGTGCCAGCAGCAACAGCAGTAGCCGGGTCCACATCGATGAGCCCTTACTTTGCAGATTACACGAAGCTAGAGGACGTGCCGGAAGAGATCCAGGACCGTGTAGTGACGGCGGAGGTCTTGGCTGCAGTCGTCGGGCACGGTGGATCACTTCTGCAGGCCTCACGTGACGGCTTTGTGGTCTCGCGGCACGTGCCGATCACGATGCGCAGCTTGTGCAAGACAATTATCCCCGTTGCGGATGCCTTTGTTGCTCTCCGCAAGGTAGAGCGTGCGGAGTACATTGGCAAGAGTCTTGTAGCGATGGCCCTCGGGGAGGTGGTCTCAGAGGTGTGTACGAGCTACGCGCACGAGGTTGCCAACCTTCAGCGGTGGGCGCAGAACCGTGCAATGCCATTAATGGGTGTTATCTCGGAGGTGATGCGCGCCGGACACCACATTGTGCGACTACGGCAAGTGCTGCCAACAGACGCCATACTGGAAGAGGAGGGGACACTCTCAATGGCGGGTTGGCGGCTCCTCAACCACATCCATGAGCAGGCGGAGAAGTGCTCAGGTAGCAAGGAGGATGACGAACTTCTACTGCTCCTGTTGCGCCGGGCATCGGTGCCATACTTGCGTGTGCTGCACCGATGGATGCACGAGGGTGTGCTGGAAGACCTGTACGGGGAGTTCTTCATTTCTGAGGCTCGCCCGCTATCCAGCACCACCACCACAGCAACATCAACAACAATGCTGATGGCAGCCACTGGTAGTGGCATCAAGAGCTCTGTGAGCCGCATCTTCCCGAACTCTACTGGCGGTGATGACTACGGTGAGGCGGCTGCTGAGGAAGCGATGGCATTTGAACGACGTTTTTCAATGAATAAAAACATGATTCCGAGCTTCCTACTAGCGAGTTCAAAAATCGCCAAGATGGTGTTCTACACCGGGAAATACTGCTGTCTTTTGCGTGAATACAACGGGAGCCTTCCCGTGTTCGGAGATGTCGCGGAGAATATCCTTCTCTGGTCTGGTGCTGATAAGTTGCTGCGCATGGTGGAGGAATCATATGAGATTGCCAGTGGGGAGGTGCTGCAGCTCTTCTTGGGATCACAAGTAGATCTTCTTGGACACCTGTCTTCGTTAAAGTGCTACTTCCTTCACCAGCGTGGCGACTGGCTGGTTGACTTCCTTGACAGTGCGGAGGAACTCCTCGTCAAATCACCTGTGCAGGTAAAAGTTCACTCGGTGCGGGTGCTCCTTCAGGCGGCGATTTCAAAATGCTGTGGGACCGACCTCTACCACACTGCCATTGGTTGCAGCTTCTCTGATAGTACCATTGAGCAATACGTTAATGGCTCCTTCGAGCAGCAATCTGATGAGCAACCTCCGCGAGGTTCATCCGGCAGGCGGAGTGCAATGCACATAGAAACGCATCGCTGTATTGAGCTACTCCAACTAGAGGCTGATCTCAAGTGGCCACTCACAATGGTTCTTGACCCTCCTGTTTTAAAACATTTCAACGTCATCTTTCGCCTCTTCACATGGCTAAAAATGTGCGAACGGAACCTCACCACGGCGTGGACAGAGGGTGAAGGTCAACAGTATCACCCGCAGGCGTATGGTATCAAACACCAGTTTATTCAATTTATCCGCCAGTTCCAATTTTACGCTGCGCATTTTGTTGTAGAGCCGCTCTGGGGACGCATGATGGGCCGCATCGGCCAGGCAGAAAGTATCTTCGCTGTTAGCAATGCTCTGCACGACTTCTTTGAGGGCGTAGAACTCGGCCTTGTGCTCTCGAGCACCCATCGCTTCCGCAGTCTCGCACGCATGCTCGAGATTGCCTCTAGCTTCAGTGAGATGGGGCGGCGGGAAGTGCTGGCGCGCCTCACCGCTGAGCAGGTGCGTGACACGCTGCAGAGCGTTGAGGAGAAGTTCCTCAAGTCACTCTCTGAGCTTGCCTCGCCTGTTGGCGCGGACTACCCGCAGCTCATTCCGCTGCTGACGTGGATTGACTTCAGCGGGTTCTACGACCGCAACGGTGTGTATCGTGTGCTCTACGCCGCGGGTTCGTCAACGGAGCCCATGTCTGCTGCATCTGCGGAGCGTCGTCGTCGTTAAACGCTCTGGACGTGTAGACGCGTATTCAAGAAGCAGGGAGACACAAAGAAACAAAGAAGCATTACCCGCATTCTAGACACAACACAATTACACATGCATGTTGCACCTTTTTTTTGGTGCTAGTTGTCTTTTTTTTTTTCCGGGATAAGGATGTGCTTATGGGCTGTTGTGTTGGCTGACACTGTTCTGTTGCTGTTGTTTTTCTGTTGTTGTTTATAACATGCTTCGCAGAAGAGCGAACAAAGGGGGAGGTGTAGCAAATGGGGGCCCTTCTGGCCAAGATGAAGGAGCTGTTCTCAAGCGAGAAGAAGCTCGAAATGTGCCTTGTTGGACTGGAGAACAGCGGCAAGACGACGCTGCTCAACGTGTTGTCTGTGGGTCACCCTATCGAGACATTTCCCACTGTGGGGCTCAATGTGAAGATGGTGCGCAAGCAGGGCGTGCAGCTCAAGGTGTGGGATCTCGGCGGCCAGGAGCGGTTCCGCAACGAGTGGGGCCGCTACACGCAGGGGTGCGACTGCATCATCTACTGCGTGGACTCCAGCGACCTGCAGCGCACCGAGCTTGCAAAGCGTGAACTACACAGGTTGCTCGAGGACAAGACCCTGCACGGCTTGCCGATGCTGGTGTGCCTCAACAAGATTGACCTGGAACCCCACATGAGTAAGGAGGAGTGTGTTCAGTTTCTGAATCTCCAGGCCATCCACAACAATCCATGGTTGGTCATCCCCATATCAGCACTTCGACAAATTAACATCAACGAGGTTGTAGACTGGCTGGTGAAAAATTCTCATAATTGAATCGCGCGAAGTAGAACAACAGAGAATAGGAACAAAGAGCCCCCACCCCAACCACCCTCAACCACCCTCACACAGAAAAAAGGGGGAAACAGTCCCACTGTCAATATTATTATTACTGTCACCGTCATTATCAATGCGGTATTTTTATTGCCACTGCCACTAAATATAGTAAGGAAAAGCACGAAAGAATTTTTTTTAAAAAAGAAAGAGAGAAGAGTTTCAAGGAGTATCGTTAGAAATGAGTATAACAAAAGTGTTGTGAGAATTTGCTATCGCCGTGGAGGAAATGCTTTTGTTTTGTGTTCTTAGTTTCATTTTTCTTGGTGTATTGGCCACATGTACTCTGCTTAATGCTTCGAGGCAAATGTGAGGGCCTGCGAGAAGCGGTGTGTGCATTGACGCTATACCTCTGCTGCCTCTGTTTTACCTTCCCTGTCATAGCATGATACGGCATTCTACCACGCCTTGATTGAACATTTGGAGGAGCCTGAGAAAGAGAGGGGAGGTCAGAGGTGGGGTAAGATGGAAACGAGTCTGCTGCGCCGATTGCGCAGGCGCTACGCTTCTCCAGAGAAGTGCATGCACGGCTCCTTTGTCATTGATGCGGAGGATACGGTCTGGCCTCGCCCTCTTATCCCCTCCGTGGAGACGCCCTCCTCATCGAACCGCTGCAACAATTGCTGCCGCCTGATTGCGGATATGCGTCTTCTGCAGGAGGAAAATGCAGAGAATACGCGGGCCATCGATCTGCTCACTGTCGCCCTAAGGTGGGAGCAGGTACACGGGCAGCGGCGTGGCGCGGTTCGCTGGCAGCACATAACTTCCAACGCCACCACCAATAACAAGAGTGACTACAAAGACAGTGACAACAAATACGCTGCTGCCGCCGCTGCTACTGCTTCTGTTGCTGAGCCCTCGTCACTCATGGTGGCGTACCAGTCGCTACAGGAGACACATATCCACACGGAGGAAGAGTTATTCCATCAGCGCTGCCGCTACGAGGGACAGATTGCGGATCTGGAGGAGCGGCTGGCGCGAGCAGAGCACGATCTTAGAAACACGACTGATTTGAACGCACTTCTAATCGAAGAGCTCAAAAGCGGTGCCCGCAAGGTCTCCTCTGTATCGTTTATATGACGTGCAACATCTTACAGAGCCGACATCAGAAGGATCTGTATCGTACAGTTATGTCGTCGGCCACTGAGCGGAGGTGGAGAATGTCTTTTTCTATGCCTCCCGAGCACAAGCTCACGTGGTGTTTTCTTTTTCTTTTTTTAATTTATTCTCGCACCATGTAGTTTGTTCTTTTCGTAATCCTCTCTTCTTGGTGTGTGGACTGTGGGGGCAGGGTCGCCCCAAGTGTATAGCTTCTAGCGTTATACTTACTTACATACATACATACCCACACACACACATATATACGCATACGCACTTGCGTACAGTTGTGCGGCGCTCGCATGTCGATCACAGAAAAGTCCCTTTTTTAAAAAAAAACTTATGAATTCTCTTGTTTGGCTTTCTCATTACTGCTGGTTGTTGTTTTTTTTTTTTTCTNGGGGGGGGGGGGCAAAGAAGAACTAAAGAGACGGAAGTAATGTCGCTGAAGAAGACAACGTTTAAACAACGCGTTCGCAAGAATGACATGAAGGGGCGACACAAGGCCTCTAGCGAGTTGCGTAAACGCATGCGTGCGGCGAAGCGGCGGCACAACCGATTCGACAACATCGAACGAGGCTCGCGGCCGCTGGAGGAACTTGTAGAGGACATCTCGCAGGGTTCCGCGGCGCCCGCGCGCGAGGTGGCGCTGGACCCCCGCAGCCTCACCGACTTGCTGCTGCGCCCCGCCGCAGAGGTGAGTGGCACCCGCACGCGATTGGCGCTGCCAGATGCGCCGCTGCCGGAGAGTGACCCGCTCGCTCTGCCGGAGGTGCACATGGATGACGACGCTGCAAGGGGCGGCAGGGAGAGTGCACCGTCGGCGAACAAGAATCAGTACCGGCATCATGGCGACCCTTACCTCTTCTGGGACCGCGTTGGCCTGCATCCTTTGCTCCTCAAGGCTCTGAAGTCCATGAGGTTCACACACCCCACGCCGGTGCAAGAGGAGGTGCTGCCTAGTGTTCTCTCAAAAGACAGCGGAGAAGCTGCTGCGAATGCTTCTTCCAAGAAGGCAAGTAAAAAGCAGCAAGAGTGGCACAAGGATGTTATTATCTCTGCAGAAACAGGCAGTGGAAAGACGCTGGCCTTTGCACTGCCCATCCTACATCATATTCTGTCAACAACCGCAATACCTCTCGACACTGAAAAATCGTGCCCCAATGGAGCTGAACATGATGAAGGTAACAATGAAGATAATGAAGAAGAGAACCAGAACAATGTTGACGAGACGATGGAGCGCAGCCAAAAAGCCTCTAAGGGTAAAAAGAGCTGTGTAGCGAAAAAAGCGCATAGCAAGGGTGCTGACAAGAGCGGTAGAAAGCGCAAGCGGCCCGAGGACGAGATAAAGGCTGAGGAGGAGGATCTTCCCACAACAGCCAATGCGGGATCAAAAAATCGCCTAATGCAAGCTCTTATTGTCTCCCCCACCCGCGAGTTGGCTCTACAAATCAACGAAGCATTTCTGCAGCTGACACAACACGCGCGACATGTTGTCATTGGGTGTGTGGTGGGCGGTATGGCGCCGGAAAAGCAACAGCGCGTGCTGAATCGTCACCCACACGTGCTGATATGTACACCCGGTCGTCTTTGGGAACTTGTGCAGAAGAACGAAGGTTGTTATCTTGGTCATAGCATCAGTCGTCGCCTTGCCTACGTGGTTCTCGATGAGGCTGACAAACTCCTTCAGTCTGGCCGCTTTGACGAGTTGAAGAATATGCTAGAGCGCATTCACTGTGAGGTGCTACCCGCTGGTTTTGTGCAGGAGCGTGAGGAGGGCGCGGAGACGGGGGAAATGGAGCTAGAAGCGGGTCGGTGGGACGCGGAAACGCAGACGTTTGTCCCATTTTCGAAACAGTCAGCTGAAAGTAGCAATGAGGCAGGCGGAGAGCAGCTGCAGCAACGTCATCGGAAGGACACTCCGCGTCCGATTCCAATGCCGCCCAACCCGCCTGAAGGTCACCGCGTTGTCACCTTCGTCACAAGTGCGACGCTTTCGCTTCAGACAAACTATGAACGCAAGGATCTGCGGTCAAAAAAGACGGTTATCCGTACCTCCAACGCCGACACTTTGACAACAGTTCTTCAGCAACTGGAGATTAAGCCTTCCTACGCCCATGTGTTCACCATCTCGCCCAAGGCGGACGTTGCCACTAAGATCCGAGAGACCTACCTGCGTTGCCCCGGTGACAGCAAAGATCTCTACCTATACTACTTCCTAAAGATGTACCGTGAACGCACAATTGTGTTTGTCAACGCCATATCCATGCTTCGCCGATTGGTGAAACTGTTGGAGGTGCTCGGCATCCCTGTGGCGGGACTCCACGCCTCGCTTCAACAGCGGCAGCGCTTGAAGTACATTGACAAGTTTAGAAAGGGCGAAAAGCTTGTGTTGGTGGCCACTGATATTGCCTCTCGTGGTATAGACGTAGAGGGTCTGAAATACGTCATCCACTTCCAGGTGCCACGATCGACCGACGCTTATATTCACCGTTGTGGTCGTACGGCGCGTTGTGGTGGCACTGGCCTCTCTGTCTTGATGGTCAATGCGCAGGAGCACGTCTCCTTTAAGAAGTTGATGGATTCCCTTGGTCGTCAGGCAAACGAGATGGAGGTGTTTGCGTTACAACCAACTATTGTGCATCAGCTTCACTCCCACGTGAAGGTAGCCCTGCAGATTGACAAGCTGCAGAAGGAGATTGACAAATCAAGAGCGCAGAACAACTGGGCACGTCGCATGAGCCGCGAGGCTGATATTGAGGTGGACGACATGGTTGACGATGAGGCGGACAACGAGAACAGATCAAAGGAGAAGGCCATTAAGCTGCTCAAGAAGCGGTTGGCGTTGCTCGTCGAGAAGGACATGGGCACGGCGGGTGGCAAGGGCGGCTTCCGTACCAGCGCGCAGGCACTCGGGGCCAAAAAAGCGGAAGCGAAGCTGGTTGAGCGTGCCACTGGGCAGGTCACGCAAAGGAAGAGCAAAGTGAAGACACAATTGCGCAAGAGCAGCGGGTGAGACTCATAAAGGCAGCGAGGCAAACGTCTGGAGGAGGGGAAACGCAGATTTTAAGCACATTTCGGTTAAAGCATCTTAGTTGCAGCCCTTTTTTTTTTAGTCGTTTTGTTGGGGGCGGGAGGTGTCGGTTTGAATGTGTTGCTCCGAAGAAAAAAAAAAACCGGCTGCAGGCTCCTGTTCGTGGATCACTCTTTTTATTTTTTGTCNGGTCACGCAAAGGAAGAGCAAAGTGAAGACACAATTGCGCAAGAGCAGCGGGTGAGACTCATAAAGGCAGCGAGGCAAACGTCTGGGGGAGGGGAAACGCAGATTTTAAGCACATTTCGGTTAAAGCATCTTAGTTGCAGCCCTTTTTTTTTAGTCGTTTTGTTGGGGGCGGGAGGTGTCGGTTTGAATGTGTTGCTCCGAAGAAAAAAAAAACCGGCTGCAGGCTCCTGTTCGTGGATCACTCTTTTTATTTTTTGTCTCTTTTGTTTTCCTTTCGGGCACACACGCTACTCAGCATTGGGCGGTGCAGCAGTGCAGAAGAGTCCACCCACCCAGAAGAAACCACAAAAAAAAAAAGAAGGCCGGGACGACAAGAAGCGGGAGCATCAGCAGTGGTGGTATCGCTCATGCAACGGCACAAGACGCCTCTAAAGGTGCCATTGCGCCAGGAGCGGTTGCTTGTCACACTTTCCGACCGCGAAAGTCCTACTGCGGCGCGAACGGTGCCTCGCAGCTCGTCGCGTTGCGTGCCTCACGTGCGTGTCAAGTCCCCTCCCGTCGCCAGCGGCCCGGTGACGTCCTCACTCTCGCTCTTGGACGAAGCTGTGTGGGCAGAGGTGGAGCACCTCAGCGCAGCCACCAGCCGCCTGCGTCAGAGAGTTGCTGAAGTGAAGCAAGAGTTAGTTAACGAGGGTGCTACTGCCAGTAAACACGCAGCAGCTACGCCTGGGGGTCAAAAGAAGCCGAAGCAAGAAGAAAGTGAGGATTCACCGTGCATCGTCTCATTCACCCCGGGTCGCCCCCATGCGAAGGGTGCAGACGCACGGCTGCGATTCACTACGCCACGAACGACCCATTCGAGTGTCAATGAAGACAGCGTACTGACGTCTCTGATGTTATTTCAGTACACACCTCACTCAGAGGGAAAACAGGAAGGTAATATTCAAGTGGTGGAAAGGCGTCTTATCGAAAAGGAAAGCCATGACGAATCATATGAAGGGGGTGCATCTATTCCTCTCTGCAATGATATGACGGAGAAGGAGCCTATTGTTGTGGAGCAGCTCAAGGAAGCCGAGTTTAGCGCCGCAGCACCGGTAGAGACCGAGACTGCGGTGACTACGAGTGATGTGCCACCCCCTGGCGTCGCCAAGGAGACACTGCTGCAGGCGCGCGTGCTCTCCGTGGAGCAAAACCTGACCCACCAGGTCTCAGATCTCCTTGCACTGCAACGCGATGCTCTTGACGCGAAAAAACGAGGCGTAGTGAATCCTGGTGATGTGTCCTTTCGCGAGTTGCGGCTAGGTATCCGAGAAGAGCTGAATGCGTGCGGTGTTCGCATGTCGAGTGTAGCGCTTCTGCGTCGTTTGCTGCCTGTTGATGAGTTGGAAGTTGGAAGATGACAGGTATTACTTCCGTGGAGTGCGCTGAGTATCTTCTTCGTTACCGTTTGGCTGTGTTTGACTGCATTCCCTCCCCACAGCGGAAGTGGTGCCGTGAATCAGTTGGCAGTTTGAGGGTACACACTTCATCGCTTTACTTCTCGTGAGAATAGGTGGACAAATAGGGAGGAGAATCAAAAGGAAGGGGGTGAGTAGGTGGAACTGCCCCACCGCCTGTGCCTGCGTGCTTTTCTGCGAAAGAATTCATCGATGTCATTCTTTCTGCTGATGAAGCCCGCTGTGGCACGGTATCACCACCGCGTTATTCCCGCCGTTCCTCTGCTGCAGCAGCTCCGCGGTGTGTGCTACACGCCGATTGCCCGCTTCGACATCAAGCAGTACGAGAAGGAAAAGCGTCGGCGGCGCGAGTTGGAGAAGGCCGGCATCGACGCCGACGCCGATGATGACGAGCCGTGGATTGCACCAGAGGAGCAGCAGCGGATCGATGAGGAGGAGGAGCTCCGGCGTGCGGAGGAGGCAGAGCGTGTGAAGGAGATGTTGAGGCGACGCGACCAGGAGGACGCTGAAAAGCGCAAGAAATTCAAGGAGTTTCGTGCCCGGCAACTTGCGATGAGTCGCAACCGCAAGGAGGCACAGGCTGCGGCAAAGCGGCATGAGAGAAGTGAGAGTCGAGTCGTGGAGGAGCTCATCGACGACACGGAGGCGGACGCCAAGGGGCAAGAACCCGACGAACATCCGAGGGGAGGGGAGCAGGCACGCTGAGTGGTAGTTGTTGTAGCAGCGATTACTGCTTCAACTTTGTTTGTCGTCGGTGGTGGTTATGCCGAGGGGGAAAGAAGCAACCATTGTGCCGCAATCCCCATTGGATCTTCTTTATTACGATTATTATTATTTTAGCTGTTATTGTTAAGGAACTATTTTCTCGTTTCTCTGTTGCATCTGGTGCACTATCTTGCAGGGAAGGGCCAAAGGAAAAAGAGGGATTGCTGTCGCGCTCTCGCCTATAGGCAAAGCACAACAACCACACAGGGCAAACCAAAGAGAAAAAATGGTGGCAGTTCGCGCTAAGGTCGGCTCCCGTGGCTTTGTTCGCCAGAGACAGCTGCCGAAGGGGAAGAGGGTGTTCAAGATTGACTGCACCATCCCCGCCAACGACGGCATCTTCAGCGAGGAGATCCTCAGCAACTTCGAGCAGTACTTCCAGGACAACGTGAAGCTGAACGGACGCAAGGGGAAGCTGACGGAGAAGGTGCGCATCAGCCTTCGCGACAACGTGCTCGCGATCGCGACGACGATGGCGTACAGCAAGAGGTACTTCAAGTACCTCACGAAGAAGTTCCTCAAGAAGAAGGACCTCCGCGACTGGATCCGCATCCTCGCCAAGGGCAAGGACATGTACCAGCTCAAGTACTTCAACATCCAGGACCAGGAGGAGGCGTAAGGTGGCCAGTCGGACAGGGCGTGTGCACACACAGGCGCACACACCGCGGACAGCGACTTTGTGACTCTTTTCCTTTTTTTCCTGTTTTGCTCCGCCACTGTTCTTTTCTTTTTCGTTTCGTCCTTTATTCCGCCACGGGTGAGAAACAGCGTAAGTGCCCATCTGGTGCCTTGCTGTGCTCGCGTTTTGGTATGAAGCCCAACCTGCTCACTGCCCACGGATGACTCCAATGACGTCTCTCTTTTTGTTTCCCTTCTTCTTTTTCTTTTTTCTTCCTTTGTATTGGGCTCCCCACCCTCCCCGCTTCTCGCCTTGTCTCTGAACGCGCAACAGCTCCCTTCGCAGAATAAAACGACAAGGGAGGGGCGGTGACAAAGTAAAAGAGAGAGACCACCACCACCACCACCACCAGCAGCAGCAGGGCGTGGCGACTGGACTCTGTGTATACTACGGTCACATCCTTCTAGACGACAACAGCAGCCAAAGCGGCTTAGGAGTAGTTTACACTGACGCAACATGCTGCGCTGCACCACCGTTGTGCGCAACTACAGGGCCTCGCTGGAGCTGAACCGCATCCGCGGCATGCTCCGTGGCAGAGCGCGCCTCGAGCGGAAGGTTGGCCTGAAGCGGTTGTATTTCCTAATGCGCACGCAGACGCGGTACCGCGTGGAGCAGCAGTCCCACTGGAACCGTGCGATTGTGCGAAAGAATGTCGACAGCGCCGCCCGAGAGCACGGTACGGGCTGGCCGCAGCTGCGGAACGAGATGGGGCGGCAGAACATCCTGCTGCTCCCTCGCTCTCAGCAGCTACTCGCGCAGTACGAGCCGCTCGCGTTCCGTGCGGTGATGGAACTCTGCGCCTCACGCATCCCGCCGCCGCCACCGCCAGCCGTTGTGGCCGTGCCGGCGGAG